TGGGGAGAATTGTAACACCCCAATTTAGGAGCTAAATTTTAGGAATTATAAAGTGGTGAATTTAATTGGTATTTTGGAAGAAATTGAGGATTTAATTGTAAAATCGTAAAGTTGACAAACCATTTTAAGAAGCGCAGGAAGTTTAGTGGCTAAACTCATGGTTTATCCTTTTTTATTTTCGAGAGAATTATAAACTCTCTCTCCCCCGATTGTTTTTGCATATTTTCCCCTATTTCCCTTCCCCGTTGACCTTCCTTCCCATTCTAATCTACTCACCGTCCGACCTCTGTTTGACGAATCGAAACCACCATCGTGTTCGTTGTTGACCGATGAACAAACCCCTTAAATCAATTGAAGTGAAACGTTATCAAACGCTGTGAATTTCATGTCAAAGTTTCAAATTTTTTTAGCACCACCGCCGAGAAAATCTTAAATTCATCACCGATTGTTGCTCCATTTTCGACACCTCCCGCACCATCGTGTTCCTTACATCGTTCCGAGTCCACTGGTGTTCTTCGTTTCTCCGTCGTCGCAGGCGTGTGGAGGGGTGAGAAAGTTAAAGTTTTCGATGTTCGGAATCGAGCTCTCCACCATTCAAAATTGTGAACCGAGCTTGGTAAGTGTCTCAAAATGCATTCAAATAATTTTTAGGAATTTTTCTGGGAATTTTCGGACACTCCACGGCATCGCACACGCCCCAAGCACTGCCCCTGCGCATGGGGAAGTCCTAGCCGCATGGTGATATGTGTGTAAAAAAACTCGGGTGCTAGTTCTATAAATAGTTTTAGAATGTTGCCTAATTTGTAATTAATTTCTGTTAGGGTGATATTTTTGTAAAATTATTGACCGTCGACTTTGATTGAAAAAGTCAAAATTTTTGAAAAGTCATATTTTATGTTTTATGACGTTCCGAAATCATTTTTGGGGTCTGTTTTGCCAAATTCAAATGTTTTTTTACTGATTTATCACCCAATTCGATCCATTTTTTGGAATTAAGCTCATTTTTTATGTAATTTCTGTTGATATGCATCTGAGGAATTATTGGAAGATGATTTCAAGATTGATGGCATTCGAATGGAATTTATATGGTCGATCAATATGGCACAGAAATCGAGGCAATATATTACTACCTCTTTATGCTTTATAGAACATGTTGGTATTGGTAAATGCATGAATGTAAATGTTTGGTCTCATATGTGTAATTAATGAAGTTCTACACTCGATACGAATGTGGTAGAAAGTATGTAACTGAATATGGCTCAGATGGCTATTATAAGAAATTGAAGGACAGTTAGAATTAAATTACAAGTTCTGGAATTAAGTGATATAGGAATCAGCCATGGATATGTAGATTATAATTTATCTCATTAAAGGTACTTAGATGAGAAATTATTAGAATACTCTGGTTGAGTAAAATTATGAAAATACCCTTATGTTGTAAGATGACAAAAATTGTTCCTGGAAGTTGGTTAATAACTCTGAAAAGACATTGATCCGGTAAAATTACTGATGTGCATCAGAAATGCTAGTTTTGCTTAGGAAATGCGGATAACCAGATTTTAAACTCAAGAGGGTTTGTGCAAGATACTAGAAGTATGTTAATGAATCATTTCAAGATCAGAGAATGTTCGGGAAAGCAATTAACCATAGAATCTCTAAACAACAATTATTTTCGTTAAGAGTTAATATCGAAATTATCTGGTTAAGAAATTACGAAAATGCCTTTGAGAGGTAAAAATAGTCCGAGTTGACCCTAAATGAGAAAGTACTTTGAGGATTCGTACTTAAATTGATAAAGTACATATTTGATTGTTAAGATCCTGACTTAGTGCAGAAAAATTTTTGATATCCCGTTTGTAAAATATGAGAAGGCACTTGACCCGAAAATATCCGAGTTATGAGTAAATACCTGAAGAATAATTTATCGGGGTTTTTTTGTAAGAATTATTCAAAAGGACTGAAATAAATGATAAGTTTGAATTTAATAATAAGATCAGACGGAAGGAAAGGATTGAAATACAGTGGATCTGTAAAATGACCAGAATACCCCTAGAATTGAAATGGCCCAAGAATATCCTTATGGCCTAGACTAAGTACCTCGAGCTCTGAAATGAATGGAATAAAACCAAACACCAAAATGACCAAAATACCCTTATGGCCTAGACTAAGTAAATATTTTGGATTAATTAAGGAATCCAAGTAAATATGGGTGTTGTATTACCCTTAAAAGTTATGGATCACAAATTAAGTGAGTTGATCAACCTTAATGATATGTCAGTACATGATCTGCACATATATTACTTGAATGAGTGTTCGTCTACTCAAGTTTGGCTCGATGATAATTGTTTGAAGTATTCAGCTCAGCTCAACTCTAGATCACATTCAGCACTAAGAATTGGATATTTGTTCAACAAATCAACCACGAAGATCGAACTGAACTGAAAGAAAGTACAATATGTATCCGAAATTCAGAGATGTCTAAATTAATCCTGAAAACTCTAAAATAACTAGAATGGACTTGACTGCTAAATGAACTAGGTAACCTCAATGACTAAGGATTTAGTAAGTGATTTGGATAAGTCTGGAAACTCTGATGAGTTTACATAGTGTCCAATTACTATGAGTTATGAACCAAAAATAAAGTACATCAGCATTTCATGATATCGTTGAAGTGTGGAAATGAAATAAAGACCCTTGGAAGACCCATTCAGCGATGACTCCAAAGATGATTTATGGACATTAATTGTTGTTATTAAAGAGTAAATATCTGAAGGACAAAGAATGAACTGGTCAACAGGCATTAGTTTTGGGAGTTGTTCAACTTGAGGTATTTCTATAATCCAATCGATCGACATATATTGTAAATGTCATGAACTTTCATTTCTTCCTTATCAGCTCAAGTCTCATTCTGAATAACTGATGATTCCATAAGTTATTGATCTCTTCTAATAGTGATTCTAAATTCCAACATTATATCGACATACTGAAGATCTGTGTTTCTCTGCTTGTTAAGATTATCCAATACCTCTAAATAATATCTGTAAACTCCGGTGTGTTCCTAATCACTTGAATATTTTATCTGATTTCCGATTTGAATTCTGTTATGATATCTGACATGGATTTTGATTTGATACTTGACCTGGATTCTGATCCGATACTTGACATGAATTCTGATCTGATACTTGACTTGAATTATGTTTTGATTTTTGATATATCTGTACGGACGGAACATGTTTTATTGGGGGGCATTGTTGGAGGAAGAATATTTATAGGTTCCTCGGCTTTGTGTTCAGGGCCTTACTGGACGTGACGTGGTTGTATGGTTTTGGGGAACCTACACATTTTGTTCGTGACGGATGGGGGTATATATATATGTTTTAAAAGATCTGTATCTTTTTACTGGTTTTACGGTAACACACTAGATAACCTATTCTGATCTCTTAAGCCTAGATATCCGAAATGTTTCCATCTGAATTGAATACTATCTGTTACTACCTGAGATATCAATGAGACCTCAGCTCAGTCTAAAAATCTGTAAATATCTGAACCAATAAGGAAAAAAATATGTTTATTTGTATCTGCACGTTCTTCAACATCATATAGTAGTTTTGTATTACTGAGCTTTCTGAAGCTCACTCTATTACTCAACATTGCAGGTTAAAAGAATTGTACCAGTGCAGTTATCGACTTCAGTAAGTGAGTTCTTCTGGCGTTGTTTGCAGAGTATGGTACATGTGATTAGAGGGCATGCAATTGTATATTGTTTTATATTCGAGTCTAAAAATCTGTTTTAATTCTGCATACCGATTAATGATTTTATGAGTTTACATGTTTTGATAAAAAGTTTTAAATTTTTCGTTATTTTTACAGTTGGCCGCTCCAGTGACCCTAATGTGACACTCCAGATCGGATCGGATTACCCGCATCGGTCTGAGGGGTTACAATTTGAGCGTTCATTATTGTTGTGTGATTTCTTAATGACAATGACTCGTCTAGAAATAAATCACTGTTAATTTCATTTTTTTACCTGTATTAAAAATGTCGTTTCAATAATCAAATTGGTGAGGTAACTAGTAAAGACATATTTTTACAAGATTCTCATTTAGTTTACCATAATTTATCTCTTAGTTTCTTTTATTTTATTAAATATTAAAATGGCGAGTCAATTAATTAATTAATTAATTTTATTTTGATTAGAGATGGACATAGGTCGAGTTTCGGCCAACCTAATTCAACTAAAAATTTTTAACCCTTCACCCGAATCGAGTTGAATCAAAAAATATATACCCTTCAACCGATCTAACCTGACCCGATTTTTTAAGATAAAATCAGAACCCTATTTGATCGATCCAAAATAATAATAAAATATTATTTTTATTCAATAAAAATAATTATTTAATTGAAAAAATAATATATAGAGTATCATTGTAATTATTCATAAATATATAAGATAAAATTATATTTTTTTAGGGTCGGATCGGATATTTTTCACCCTAAATCCGAATTCGACTCGAACCAAACATCACCTTTAAAAAATCTGACCCGAACCCAATTTTTTATATAAAATCCCTGACCCGATCGGATTGAAAACCGTCGGGTTCGGGTTCCATGCCTATCCCTAATTTTGATACCTAAACTTTTTTTTCTTTCATGATCATATTTAACGTTTAGTTTATGTTTCATGTTTGTTGTTGTGTTAAAAACTTAAGGAAACTTATTTACATGGCATTTCTATGGGTAAATTATATTATTCATCAATTAACTATCTTTCAACTCTTATTTTGATCACTAAAGTTTAAAAAGTTTCAATTTAATTACGCAACTTTCAAATTATTCCTGTTTTAATCACTCTGGTTTATTTTATTGAACTTATTACTAATGACCATATTTAACTGCAATTCAAATTAAAAATTTGATCATCAAAAGAAAGAGGCTACGCCAATTCTTCCTATATAAATCAGTTTCTTTTCGTATATTATTACTCTATTCTTTCATACAAATAGAGAAATGCTTCATAATTTAAAGGGTTCAAACGTTGAGTTCACTAGGGACGATTTGTGAGTTGCTGCTAATCGTCCCACCAACTCCATAATTCACGGCAGCTTCTTGAGCCTGATTCAAAGCGCTTTGTTGGTCACCGGTGCTCGGAAATCGCTCTAATTGGAGCTTGCCGCCGCTTTCCGGCTGGACGGATTCTTTTGTTCCACCGCGATATAGAACGTATAATATCATCTGAGTTACCCCGAAGCTGAACCCTAAGATGTTTGGTGTCTGCAACATAATCAAGAAAATATAATGAAATGAATTGATAGATAACTTTTGTTGTATCGTAGATGAGATTGAATAATAATTATCGGGTACTCTTTTCTTCTTTTGTTGTCTCGATTGAACTTCGGTTCGATTAAATTACGAGAAATTTTTAACGAGGCTTGTCTATTTTCTCAAAAAAAAAAAAGGAGTATAGGTATAGGTTCTTACTGCTATGTAGAAATCTCTCAATGAAAATCCATAGAGGAACCACGTTATGGCACAAAGAGTCAAGAAGAATGATAATGGGAACGGCATGTATTCCACGCTCTTCGTTTTCAACACAGATCTCTACAAATTTATAAAACAAAATATTAAAAAAAACGAAAAGTGGAATATTATTTCATTATTGATAAGGTTAAGGGTAAAATATCTATTGGGTCACCCACTTGTTACTTAGCTTCTGTTTTGGTCACTCAACTATTATTTTTAAAAGACAATGATAAAATTAGCCTCCAAGATTTACAAAAATGATCATTTTCTCCTCTATTATTTTTTAAACGTTTTAACCCCAACGCTTCAATTTTTTGTAAAAAAAAAAGCCACAATTGGATAGAAATTTTTAATTAAGTAACGATCAACATATGTTGGTGATGTAACATTTTCATGTGTGTTTAATTGATGACATGACATATGTCACATTCTCAATTAAACTCATGAAAATGACACGCCAAAAACATGTGTTTACTGTTGGTCAATTAACGAATTCATCCAACAGGGGTTGTTTTAACAAACAAATTGAAATTTTGGGAGTTAAAATGCTAAAAAAATAATATGTGATAAAGTGACCATTTATGTAACGTTAGATATTAATTTTTTCTTTATGCCTTTTTAAAATTATACCTAACGTCACATTTTTTGTTATGTTTTGTTCACCTATCGTTAAAAAATTAATGATAATGCTGATGTGTTATCATAAGGTAATACCACATCACCATCGCTGTTAATTTATTAACGACGGGTGATCAAAACAAAACTAAACTGTAACGTTGGATAAAATTTTGAAAAAAAATAATAGTTGGATGATCAAAACAGAAACTAAATAATATGTGAGTGAACAAATACGTAGTTTACCTAAGATTAACAAGGCAATGGGTTTCTTCTTACAATGATGCTAAGGGGAGCAGCAAAGACACAAACGGAAAAGATGGCACAAATCCACCCAACAATAGACACCCGAAGAGGGCCATGGAATGATGCGAGTGTGACAAGTATGATCAGTCCTAATGCACCTATATTGAAAAACACCAGCAACTTTGTCGTGTATATCTGCAGTGCATAATAAGTAAGATCACCACGGACGGACGTAGTATTTTATGTTAAAACGTTAAATTTATCAATACATACCCTATCACTTTTGGTAGCATAAATCATGTATAAGAAGAGATAAATGGATTCGATGCAACATCCAATGGAATTAATGGTGATGAGCATGGATGCATCATGTTTCTTAAGGAAAGCATAGTACAGGAGCAGCATGGCACTGAACAGTGCTACTGAATACGGTATTGATTGAAAACCTTCAGTTGATTTCTTCTTGAAAATCCTATAGAAAGTGGGCCTTAATTTTGAAAAAAGAAAAAGAAAATCGTTAACATATTCATATTCCCATACATGAACCAAAGCTTGAGGATTAGAAGAAAACTTACAACGGGGCAAGATAAACCAGGAAAGACAATATATTTCCTGCAGAAAACAAGGATTAGAAGAAAGCTTACAATGGGACAAAGAAGTTAATCAATTATGGAATTAAATAGATACCAAGAAGGCCAAAAGCAGAAGAGAAGCTACGATCATGGATGTTTAATGCCATTGTTGTTGATGTGAAGCTCTTTCTCTTAGCTTGGATATGTATGTGCCAGTATAGAGTAGAAGAAAGAGCTTATGTTTGTTTCATTGCATAAAGCCCTATATATACACATACACATACCCATAGTTTTGAAGCTTGTTTATTTGATGATGATGGCATGGCACACATAACTTGCTTTGTTCTTTTGACATTGAACTGTTGATGAACAATCTGATGAGCTGTGATACTTTATGTGGGCGTTTTTAGTTTCATATCTTTTGCTTTTGATCTCTTCATTTTGCTTATTATGTAGCTGTATAGGTTTCTAGCATCACTTTGTCTTATAGCTCTATATGCTTTACCTGCTTCAAAGTGTAAAGCTCTTGCATTTCCCAAATTAAGTCCATTTCAAATTTGTTTTTAGCTTTTTTTTATCAATGCCAAGTGTATAACACTATATGTATATACACCCTTTCCTCAAACTTAATGTACTAGCTAATGAAGTAGTCCATTTCTTTAAGTTAAGGTTTAACTAGAGAGTTATGACATTTCGTTGAAAGAACGAAACTAGGATTATATATTTGGAAGAATTAAATTATTCAACTTCAAAAAATAGATATCTATTGAGTATTTAAACTCAAAATTTAAATATAAAAATAAAACTTAATTTGATTCATACTTAAAATTATAGAGATTTAAATTATCATTGAATCAAAGGTGGAGGACCCAGGAATAAATCGAAGGGGTGCGGGTGGGGACAGTAGCTCCTTTAAAAATTTAAAATTACCATATATTTTAATTTTTTTTCTATTTATTTTATATTGAAAATATGTTTTCGTCCCCATGAAAGTTTATAAATTTATCTTCTCTTAAAATTTTAGAGATTCGTCCTCTAACATAAAATTTTGTGTCTTTCCCTGGAGTACCCCTCCCAAACTACGTTTGGTTTTGTGTGGAACATTGCTAGATTCCAATCTAATGGTGTAAAACGTTGTTAGATTCCAATCTAATGGTGTAAAACGTTGCTAGATTCCAATTACGTCACTTATTTGCATGGAGCATTTCCAAACTAGGGATTGAAGAATTTTAGCTTACATACAAAATATTTCCCAATACTTTGGAAGATAAGATTGCATCTTTTAGTAAATAGTACTTGGAATCAGGGATAGATCAAGAGGGGGTGTCAAAGGTGCAATCGTAATCTTTGAAAATTTTAATTTCTCATATAATTTATGTATTTTATTTCTATTTTTTATTGATGATCTAATTTTACATCATTAATTTTCAATACAAATTTCTAAATTTACACCGTAGCATAAAATTTTGTGTACGTTCTAATTTGAAAATTATAATGGAAAACAATTAATGTATTTATTATGGTACCAATATTAATTGTTGAACAACTTATATCATTAATTTGCTCATCCATCGTTATTTAAGAGAAATTATTGTTCTTTCTAAATGTTGCATCCATCATCTTTAATTATTATTTGGCAAACAAAATTAAAAAAAAGAATTAAAGCATATAGAATTGGGGATGGGCACAAGACTTGAACATGACGGGTTTCGACTTGATCTTATCTTATTGAGTCGGATTTTTAAAAAAAAATCAAAGTTCGAGTCGGATCGGGTTTTTTAGAGGACATGCTTGAGTCAGGTCGGGTTCAGGTTTAGGGTGAAAAATATCTGACCCGACTCGAAAAATGTAAATTTACCTATATATTTAGTGATAATTGCAATAATACCCTTTATATATATTTAATTAAATATCTATTTTTTATTGAATAAAAGTAATATTTGTTATACATATATTATTTTGAAACAGTTCTTTGAGTTTTTTCTCAAAAAGAGGGTCGGATTCGGGTCGGGTGATGGGTATATATTTTTTACTTTAGTTCAAGTTGGATGAAGAGTGTATAATTTTTGAATTAAATAAGGTTAATCAGAAATCCAACCCAACTCGGTTCATGCCCATCCCTAGATACAATACAAGGTGTCAGCCGGTAGACAAGGTATAAAAGCAACATTGCTTGCATGGGGATGGCTTTAGCTGTTTGATGTCGTGAAGCAAATGGTTGAGAAATAAGAAGAGAGAAGACGAAAAAATGTGATATTAATTGGAAATGTACAATGAGTGCTTAACTGATCAAATTAAAAGTAATTATTTAGGTATGATGGAATAATCATTTTGGTTCAATTTCTTTTAAGAATCTTAGATTTTAATACTGTTGACGAAAACGGGTAAAGAAAAACGAAAGAACACGAGAATTTTACGAGGTTCGGCAATGTGCTTACGTCCTCGGTTCCTAGGCGGCGCTAGAATTTTATTCAATGAATGTTTTAGGTCTAGGTTACATCTCTATTTATAATAGAAAACCCTGGTACATAATTACAAAATCAACCCTGTACCGTACCGCGGGGGCTACGCCCCCGCACCCTCAACCCACATAATTTGTAACCCCACAACGAGACTTTCTTTGTAAGGACAGTTGATGTTTGCTGCGTTCGCTTCGCTCACTTCGCTCCATCTCCTGTCCTCTTTACTGGTATATTTATGAGCCATACCTAACAAATCTCCACCTTGGCGAATATCCTGCCCCTTGGAAACTTCAATGTGGGTTGGGTTACCTTGCTTCTTTAACAACTCGAAACATTCAACAAGTCCAAGCAATGCTTGAACTTGTCTGTCGTAACTGGCTTGGTGAACATATCAGCGGCATTCTCATCAGTATGTACCTTCTGAAACAAAACCTCTCCAGATGCAACCAACTCTCTGATCTTGTGGAACCTTACATCAATATGTTTAGTTCTAGCACGATACACCTGATTCTTAGCCAAGTGAATAGCACTTTGATTATCACAAAGCAACTGAACTCCACCTTGTTGAACACCCAACTCCTTCACTAAACCAGTAAGCCATAAAGCTTCTTTTGCAGCTTCAGCCGCTGCCATGTATTCAGCTTCAGTTGTAGATAGTGCCACGACAGATTGAACAGTAGACTTCCAGCAAATAGGCCCTCCACCAAGAGTAAACACATACCCTGTCGTAGATCTTCTATTATCCAAGTCACCTGCATAATCTGAATCCACATATCCTACAACCAAAGGATTATCCCGCTGACTCCCAAAAACAATTCCATGTCCCACAGTACCCTTTAAGTACCGAAAGATCCACTTGACTGCATCCCAATGTTGCTTACCAGGTTTAGACATGTACTTACAAACTTGACTAACAGCATGAGCTAAATCAGGACGAGTACATACCATCGCATACATCAAGCAGCCAACAGCATTAGAATACAGAACCTTTGCCATATTTTCAGCTTCCTTATATGTCTTAGGGCACTGTTCTGATGAGAGCTTAAAGTGATTCGCCAATGGAGTGCTAACTGGTTTCGCGCTGCTCATCGCAAACCTTTCTAGCATTTTCTCAACATAACCCCGTTGAGATAGCCGCAGTTTCCTTGAGTCTCTGTCCCTGAAAATTTTCATTCCAAGAATTTTCTTTGCAGCACCTAAATCTTTCATATCAAATTCCTGACTCAATAAAGTTTTCAAACCGATAACATCATCCATGTTCTTCGCAGCAATCAACATATCATCAACATACAGTAATAGAAAAATAAAAGAACCATCATCAAGGCTCTTAACATAGACACAACAATCATACTCACATCGGTTGTAGCCAATCTTGATCATATAGGAGTCAAACCGTTTATACCACTGTCTCGGAGACTGTTTTAACCCGTACAAAGATTTCTTCAATCTGCAAACTAAATGCTCGTTTCCAGGTTGAGTGAAACCTTCAGGTTGCCGCATGTAGATCTGCTCCTCTAAATCACCATGCAAAAAAACAGTTTTAACATCCATCTACTCTAAATGCAAATCCCAACTAGCCACCAATGCAAGTACTGCTCGGATTGAAGTGTGCCTGACCACAGGAGAAAAGATTTCATCATAATCAACTCCTTTCTGCTGTGAAAAACCCTTCGCTACCAAACGAGCCTTGAACTTCTCCCCCTCTTTTTCTGTTACTGCTGGTTTCTTCTTATACACCCATTTGCAACCAATCGGCTTCTTACCCTCAGGAAGGGGAACTAACTCCCATGTGCGATTGTGATTCAAAGACTCCATCTCCTCAACCATGGCTGCCATCCACTTGTCGTTTTCCTGACTAGTAACGGCATCATGAAAAGTAACTGGATCATCACTGCTAACAGTAAGTGCAAAAGATACCAAGTCTTCAAAACCCAATCTGTTCGGAGGCTTTATATTCGTCCGTCTCACCCTGTCTCTGGCGAGACTATAATCCTGCAAATCATCCGTAGTGGAACCACCAGAAGTCGGTTGAGAAGTTTCTGGTTTCTCAACTGGAAACTGCTCGAAATCTACCACTGTCGTGTCTTGCTTCTGCTGCAACATAGACTGTTCATCAAAAACGACATCTCTACTAATCACAACTTTCTTCGCAACTGGATCCCAGAACTTGAATCCTTTGACACCTTTCTTGTAACCCAGAAAAATGCACTCCTTCGATTTTGCATCAAGTTTGGATCTCTCATCAGCAGGTACATGCACATAAGCAGGACAACCAAAAATCCGTAAGTTATCAAAACTAACATCATGACCAGTCCATACCTCTTCTGCAACTTTCCCAGCCAGCGATGCCCTTGGCGATCTGTTGATAAGGTAACACGCCATGTTAACAGCCTCAGCCCAGAAGTGTTTGGGAAGCCCCGCATTCAATCGCAAACATCTGGCTCTTTCATTCAACGACCTGTTCATTCGTTCCGCAACACCATTCTGTTGTGGTGTCTTGCGCACTGTAAAATGCCTCTGAATCCCATGCTCCTTACAGAATTGTAGGAACTGTGAATCTGTGTACTCCGTACCATTGTCAGACCGCAAACACTTGATTTTTCGTCCTGTTTGGTTTTCTACCTCAGCTTTCCACAGCTTGAACTTCTCAAAAACTTCAGATTTCTGTTTCAAAAAATACACCCAAACTTTCCGTGAAAAATCATCAATAAAAGTAACATAGTACCTAGATCCACCCAAAGACG